TGATATCGCCATTGTGACGCAGCAAGTGTGAGAGAAAGAGTCGACACAATGATTCCTGACATCCTCTTGATGGATCAGTCCTCATTCTAGCCCGAATAAACAAGAAAACCTCTCTCTAGAGCGGATCTGAGAGCATCAGTCTGAAGAGCTTTTCCTCAAACCTACATGTGGGCTGAGTAAGTCTGAGTAAGTACTTCAATGCTTTGTGAACACAAGGGAATGAAGCTTTTTGTAGCTGAAACACCTGATATCCTGCAGCCCAGAGACACGTAAGTGACACAAAGTCTAAATGTCATTAAATAAGCTCAAATATCATCTGCTTGTCTGAAACGCTGCAGAGTCTTTTTTTCTTCATCACTGTTTGAATCAGCTGGTGTTTTGGTGATTTTTAGTGGCTATATGAAATCTGTTCTCCTCAACTTCACGCAGGTGTCACTCGCAGAAAAAAAGGTCCAAAAGCTGTCAAGCAGGGTGGTACCTTTTCAAAAGGTACACCTTTGTATTTACCCCCAAGGAGTGCATTTTAGTACTTCAAATGTACTTCAAAGGTGTACCTATTAGTACGTAAATGGTATACCATTTATATTATAAATATATTAGTCACTTTTGAAAAGGGGCCGCCCCAGTGACAGCTTTTGTACCTTTTTATCAGAGAGAAACACATGAACACAAGTCTTCAATGTAACATTACATCTTAGCATTTCAAACTTCTCTTTGCCAACCATTTGCTTGTATAGCGTTTGTGTATCTTTGATAGCAACAAATGACACTTGCTTTGTTGTTTTGGATCTAATGCAAAGACGTTTAGACATTTTAAGATTGACAAGTGTTTAAAAACTGGAAAAAGTATGCATGTTCACACGTGTATGCTCTGACCATATCCAATTCACTTTGATATGTTCAATTTTCGAAACTTACCCGAGTTGGATCTTGTTCCGGGCAAACGGACACCTTACCTTTGCACCATCTCTCTAGGATGGCTATGGAGAGAAAGATACCAGCATTATATCATCTGACGTGTGCAACATCCTCGGCGCTGCATCAGACGGCTGTTTTATTAAGAGCAAAATCGCTTGAACTCACGAGCAACGATTAAACAGAAGCAGATTTGGGGATTGGGGACTCAAACACATGCATATACTTTGAGTCACACAGACTGTAGCAACCGCACACACACATCATGAGTTCAGGCAACTGTTGGTGGTCCAACAGGCACAGTATGAATGTCACCCACAAGACTAATGGAAGCATCTCCCACACACACACACACACACACACTCCAGCAAAACACAGAACAAATCAAATCAAAAGCTACTACACCGGGCCTGCAACCACTGCAGCACTATTTAGAGACACGCATATGATCGATTATTAAACTTCTACATCGGTGTCCCTCTCAAAGCTGTAATTCATCCCGATAAGTGAGCTGTTTTGCTTTTGTTTTCCGAGCACAGTCTCCATGCACACTGCAAATTGGAGCATTTACTACATTTGGTATCTCACTGGCCTCTGCCAAGGACAGAAAACATTGTGTTTAACTTTGGTCTCAAAGAACTCCCTGATTCACTCCAGCTTGGCTCATATTTTTAATGATGAATACACCCCCCCTCACAGAAGGCTGAAGTGCTCCGCCAGTCTGACGGCTGTGTGTTTTGAGGGCTAGTTTGTCGGGGATTGGCTTTCACACACACAGGCTGAAAGGGTTACTGTTCAATCTATTCTGCGCTCGCCAGAGTGCGCGGCCGAGTGGCGCCGGCGCGTCACACACACACGCACACACTCTCAGCCTCCTCCAAAAAGCTCTAGACATCATCAAGAAACAGAGCTGACAACTGCCCCCACCCTACGCAAAAAAAGCAGCACCAGCAGTGTATCTGTCACAATAACCTCAGCAATAACACGCACACACATGCACTTTCACTCCCTTGTGACCCGGGCGGACGCGCCGAACGCCGAAATGACAGGCGTGTGATTGACGCGCGCCTCTGGAACACGGAGCGTGTGAAGTCACGTTTTCATGAGTCTCGCATCTCTTGAACTCGCAGACAGCATGTTTGCTGACTAATTAACAGTCTGGTACCGTCAGCATCAGTTCACAGGCATTGTAAAGGGTTGCAGTGTTTCTCACGCCGAGACTTTTGGACAAGAATCGGGCTCAGATTTCTGTCTCTCAGACTTTTCCCCCCCTTCCCTTTCCCTTTCCAGAAGCAGTACGCCAGGAGCTGCTGGCTCTCCCTGCTCTATTTCACCAATGACAGTGTTTGAAAATGGCTGCATCATATTTTAGCGCTGTGTTAACATCGGCGCGCTTTTACGCACGACGTTTCCAAGCGCTCCCTGTAGAGTATTTCCACACCGAAAGCAGGCAGAAGGGCCTAGATCTAATTTAGAAACAGCACAAAATGTTCAGCGTGCACGCATCTGCATTCATTCGGCAACATATGCATCATTCAGCGTTCTTAATCTTAAGAAACCAAGAGTATCTGACGCAAGACATATTCCTCAGATCCTTCAGTCCAAGTTTAACAGATTTTATTGCTAAAACCATGGCATTTACACTGACATGTTTATTATTATGATCATTAATATTAATATTCTCTTAAATTCATTTTTAGAACTTTTCAAGTAGAATTTCTGGTATATTCTATTCTCTTCTCTTTATCTATACTCACAACCGTTAAAACAATAAATACAACATACACTTTTTTTTTTACTAAAATACTATATGATTTCCCAAAAAAAAAAAAGAGTTCACGTGTATAATTTTCAGCCCAGCCTTTTTTTTTAAAATCATCATCATCATCATTATTGATATTAATATTTTTACAAAACCTCTAGGCATAGTGTTCTTCAGTCTCTATAAATAGAGTTCGAATGAGGAAAGTGAACCTCTCTCTTGCGTCTTGGCAATAATTTCATAAAAAATAACCACGAGCCGAAGTGCTCCTCGTGAGAATATGGTCCTGATCCTTTAACAAAAATAGCTGCATTCTTCTTCATCATCTTCTCACTTAAATATGTACATATGCTGTCATATATTTTGAATTAAAAAGCTATATATATATATATATATATATATATATGTATGTATGTATGTTATGAATGTCACCCACAAGACTAATGGAAGCATCTCCCACACACACACACACACACACACTCCAGCAAAACACAGAACAAATCAAATCAAAAGCTACTACACCGGGCCTGCAACCACTGCAGCACTATTTAGAGACACGCATATGATCGATTATTAAACTTCTACATCGGTGTCCCTCTCAAAGCTGTAATTCATCCCGATAAGTGAGCTGTTTTGCTTTTGTTTTCCGAGCACAGTCTCCATGCACACTGCAAATTGGAGCATTTACTACATTTGGTATCTCACTGGCCTCTGCCAAGGACAGAAAACATTGTGTTTAACTTTGGTCTCAAAGAACTCCCTGATTCACTCCAGCTTGGCTCATATTTTTAATGATGAATACACCCCCCCTCACAGAAGGCTGAAGTGCTCCGCCAGTCTGACGGCTGTGTGTTTTGAGGGCTAGTTTGTCGGGGATTGGCTTTCACACACACAGGCTGAAAGGGTTACTGTTCAATCTATTCTGCGCTCGCCAGAGTGCGCGGCCGAGTGGCGCCGGCGCGTCACACACACACGCACACACTCTCAGCCTCCTCCAAAAAGCTCTAGACATCATCAAGAAACAGAGCTGACAACTGCCCCCACCCTACGCAAAAAAAGCAGCACCAGCAGTGTATCTGTCACAATAACCTCAGCAATAACACGCACACACATGCACTTTCACTCCCTTGTGACCCGGGCGGACGCGCCGAACGCCGAAATGACAGGCGTGTGATTGACGCGCGCCTCTGGAACACGGAGCGTGTGAAGTCACGTTTTCATGAGTCTCGCATCTCTTGAACTCGCAGACAGCATGTTTGCTGACTAATTAACAGTCTGGTACCGTCAGCATCAGTTCACAGGCATTGTAGAGGGCTGCAGTGTTTCTCACGCCGAGACTTTTGGACAAGAATCGGGCTCAGATTTCTGTCTCTCAGACTTTTCCCCCCCTTCCCTTTCCCTTTCCAGAAGCAGTACGCCAGGAGCTGCTGGCTCTCCCTGCTCTATTTCACCAATGACAGTGTTTGAAAATGGCTGAATCATATTTTAGCGCTGTGTTAACATCGGCGCGCTTTTACGCACGACGTTTCCAAGCGCTCCCTGTAGAGTATTTCCACACCGAAAGCAGGCAGAAGGGCCTAGATCTAATTTAGAAACAGCACAAAATGTTCAGCGTGCACGCATCTGCATTCATTCGGCAACATATGCATCATTCAGCGTTCTTAATCTTAAGAAACCAAGAGTATCTGACGCAAGACATATTCCTCAGATCCTTCAGTCCAAGTTTAACAGATTTTATTGCTAAAACCATGGCATTTACACTGACATGTTTATTATTATGATCATTAATATTAATATTCTCTTAAATTCATTTTTAGAACTTTTCAAGTAGAATTTCTGGTATATTCTATTCTCTTCTCTTTATCTATACTCACAACCGTTAAAACAATAAATACAACATACACTTTTTTTTTTACTAAAATACTATATGATTTCCCAAAAAAAAAAAAGAGTTCACGTGTATAATTTTCATCCCAGCCTTTTTTTTTAAAATCATCATCATCATCATTATTGATATTAATATTTGTACAAAACCTCTAGGCATAGTGTTCTTCAGTCTCTATAAATAGAGTTCGAATGAGGAAGGTGAACTTCTCTCTTGCGTCTTCGCAATGATTTCATAAAAATAACCACGAGCTGAAGTGCTCCTCGTGAGAATATGGTCCTGATCCTTTAACAAAAATAGCTGCATTCTTCTTCATCATCTTCTCACTTAAATATGTACATATGCTGTCATAGCCTATATTTTGAATTAAAAAGCTATATATATATATATATATATATATATATATATATATATGTATAAAAAAATAGATTGCGCTGCTCAGCAGGAGCATTTGCACTCGGAGATGATAGGGTACTGCACCGGTATCCACGTGCAGTACTTCTGCCGCAGGAAGCCTTGGCAGTACCACCGCAGGAAGGTCTTGGTCACCGACTTGACCGGCTTGCAGGACATGCCCTCGGGGAAGGAGCACGAGCGCTCGCTGAAGCAGTTCCCCTCCTTGATGTAGCGCGGCCAGAAGCGCGCGCCCAGGTCCTTCCAAGTGTACAGCACCGGGCAGTGCGTGTACATCCACAGCCACTGCAGGAACTTCCGCCGCGCCTTCTTGCCCACCTTGACGCGCCTGCCGTACGGCGTCTCCGTCAGGTTGAGCTTCTTGAGGTCGGCGGGCATGGGCAGGCGCGGCAGGTCCGGCGGCGCGCTGGCGTTCAGCTGCGTGGGCAGGTGGATGGACATGAAGTTGGAGTCGAAGTGGCTGCCCAGCTTCTTGCGCAGCGTCTTCTCCGAGAGGTCCTGCTCGCGTGGGTCGTGCTCCGGGTCGGGGTCCTCCCTGAGGTCCGGGACGGGCAGATGCTCGCTGGGCGAGGGCCTCAGGCGCAAGTAGTGCTGGGCCGCGGCGCCGTGCGCGCACAGGAGCAACAGCAGCAGCGGCAGCGCGCGGGTGATGCTGCCCATTACTCGTCTTCTGTCTGTCTACGGAGTGGAGTTGGCCCTCACTGCGCCCTCACACACCCGCGCATAAATAGTCCGAGCGACAGCACGAGCGAGATCTTTTAATAGACGGCCGCGTGGCCCGGAATGACTTGGGACATGAGCTGTTTATCAGGGATACTCGCTCAGGTGAGGCTTGCCAAGTGCGCTTCAAAATCGTATCCTCATCGGACTTTCGGCGGGGTCACCATGGCAACAGGACAGGATGGGATGGCACCGTTTCCACAGCCTGCTCGGGTTTTGTTGCGGGTTGCCACCCAAACTGGCGTTTGAAATGTCAGCGCACCCGCGGAATGGAGCGCGTCTTAGCCAGTGTTATTTTTACGCACTCTCTCTCTCCCTCTCTGAGCGCACAGGCTCCAGCCCGTCCCGCCGAACCGGCGCTGCTGAACTGGGACGAAAGGCGCTCAGTCTCTCCACGGATCCTGCAGAACTCCGCGCGCGCGTGCAAGATCGGAACCTCAAACGTGTTTCGTTCCGCGCCTAGAATGTGTTCGGTATCAGTCTGAAATAAAATCAGACTCCTCTACACGTTCGCGTTAAGCGTTCCCACGAACGTCTGCTGTATGTTCTCCAGCCTCGGCCGCGGTACCTTCATATCCCCGCTGTGTCAGAAATCCTCTTCCACAGAGTCGTCCGAAAAACTCGCCTGGTCCTGATCTGGGACAGAGGAGAATGAGCGCGTCTGGAGGAGAACTCCTCTCTTTCCCAAGTTAAATATCCCCACCCCTTCCCTCCTCCCCCC